ACCAGCTCAAATCAGTCCTTGGATGATTTGATGAAAACTCTTCAAGAAATTCGACTCAATGATTCTTTTTCAGTGTCCTTGGGTCTTGATGACTCAAATATAGAAGTAGTTGCCGAAGAGCTTATTGACCTCGATGTTCTTCATGCTACTTGCGATGATTATGCTAACAATGTTAGCATTGTCAACTCGGTTTTAGAGCAACATCATCTCTTGCACAATGATAGTACTTCGAATGAAGATGATTTTGGTAAGATTCCGCCTTTGGTGACAGTCGAATAGGCAAATTGAACGATCACTAATTTGATCAATTTTTTTTCTATCAAATTGTTTTTATTGACAGAATTGCAGAGTAAGTTGCTTTGCAATCTCCAAAGAGCTCGTCGTGCTTTGATACATCAACAAAAGATTGAAAAATTTAGACAGCTGAGACAATCGACAATCAGATTGTAAATAATATTTATGTGATTCGATAGTTTTTGAATTGAATTTCATCACATCCGACATTCAATTAATATTTTTCTAAATTCTCTATATTTTCAATGTCCAATTGAATGAAATAAGATCTCTGTCTCTGCGTTCAAGGGGAATGAGTTAGCAATTTGTTGTAAGAAATTTCATTTGATTTATTCATTACGCATATCTAATTTTCTCTATTTTGAATTTAGAACACGGTTGTACTCTTGTGCGGTGCATGTGTAGTCAGGGTTCATAAAGTTTTAGGCAGATTTCTATTTTTTCTCTTTTGAGTTTAACACATGATTATGGTCGTGTGTGTTGATTGTTGGATGCTTGTTAGGGGATTTCTATCTATCTTCATCAAGAGCATTCCTCCTAATTATATTTGTAATCGGCCTCGTCACTTGTTTTAAGTACAAAGTGGTTCATGTGTTTATTACAAGTGCATTGTATTACGAGTTCAAAAGATACCCGTCCAATTTTTTATAGCCTTTCACAGACAACAAAGATCTTTAAATTACCACATCAGCTTTGGATGCATGTCGTTCATTCGGTATGGAGTATAATGGAGATAGTGCGTGTTGATCATATGGACTTTGCAAACATTCTGTAAGCTTAGATAGAATAAATTCATACATTTTCAAGGCACCACTTATGATGTGAGAGCGTAATAGCAATCTCTCATTGATATAGTCTATTGCGAATTGCTCAAAATCTACACAAATATCATTCTCATAAGGATGTATATCGTAAGACACTTCTTCTTCCTTCAGCTCTTGAATGCCATATCAAAAACTTTGTCTAGATCATTTTACTCTTCGCCCACATCACTCGATCCGTGACACAAATTCAAGGACTGAGAAGACTGTAAGCACTTCACAAGTGTATGCGTTCATTTCATGCGAGAATTTGACTCTTAGATGTAGGGATAGGTCAGTCATCAATTTCTGAACTTAGACTTTTGACTTTGAATAGAGACTTTTGGCAATTATGATAGCTATTAAAGCTCAACACAGTCACTATTGAAAAATCTAATGACATTATTAATAATAGTGACGTAATGTTATTATTGGATAGATTACCCGTTAGAAACTAATGGTTATCCATTTTCATGTCACAAATGAGAGGATGTCATTCACACGAGGTGACACTATTGGAAAGTTTAACTCTGTATTCGAAAATGTCATTCACAAGAGGCCAGGTACACGGTATGGGAATTACTTGATGGAACCCCCTGAAAACTCAAAACACACTTGATGGAGACCCAATAGGTTTCAATTTACCCGATGATGGGACCCCATTGACCGCCTCGAATTCCGCAATTATGAGATATTACTTGATGGGACCCCATCAAAACTTAAATTGCTTGTTGTTCCCATCAAGTTTCAATTTACCCCACCTTCGGTCCAAGTCACAATGTTCTAGTATGAACAGATGGTGTAATGCATGAGTCACACTTTTTGTTAAGTTCGGCATGTGATACTTCGTTTTTGCCTTTCGTATCGCTGCGTAGAGTATGGCCCTACTGAACCACCTTCTATCATCCGTAGAGCGCATCTCGATAAAATATCTTGGGAAGAATGGGATGGTAGGATGGGGACGATGGAAAAATAGCTCGGCTTGCTGTTGGCGTCATGAGGAGGAGGGTTCAGTTTTTTGCTTGCTCGATCGCGGTGATCGAAGGCTGCCTCCAAGTTCTTCATGCCTAAGTGCTGAATTGCAGAAATCTATGATTTTGGAGAGGTGGGCAATCTGATCTCTCTGTTTCCCTTAACGAAACAGAAGCGAAGAGCCTCATATGTACGAGGAAGGATAGGTGTTCAAAACCACCTGTGTCAAATTTACCTATCGATGGGGCTAGCTGTCTAGATCAATTGCAATGCAATTTTTCCTCTCTATGGACGGTGACCACAAGATGAATCAGAGCGGACGAGTTGCGTCAAGGAGGCTCATCGGGGCACATGTCATCTACATGTCTGGAGTCAATTGATTGCAGGTGCAGGAGAAGATACTCCAGACTTCAGCTATAATCAGCCCAATGGAACTAGTCTGCTCTCTTTGATCTGACCATTTTAGTCTAAAAGCCAAAGCCACTCGTGTGCATATCATGCTCCAATACATCAGAACAGTTTAGCTTCGATAACCCAATTCTATTCAACTCTCGATCTCAAAGCGTGGATATTGCGGGAATATATTCAAATGATCGATCATCTTTCTGAAGCAGTGCTACAGTTTCAGGTATGTCATTTATTTGGCGATGAGAAATGAGGCCCTTGGCCGATTATGCCTTTCGCTTTTAGAATGACTAGGTCCATCTTGTTGCAATTTGTCCCATAGTGAAATTCTTAAGTAGCTCAAAATCCAAGACTTTATTCCAACGTTTCATATTGGACGCCCTCATGTCAGTATCAGAGACTCAACACATAATGTGCCGGAACTTCATATGACTCACTTGCACTGGCATTCAAATCTAATTCAACCTGTTGTTTTGAAGGTGAATTTCTAATGAAGAGACGGAGAGAAAAGACGCCCAAAGGTGCTACATCGGGTTCCAAAACCACCAGAGTCGAGCTAGTTAGTTCTCCTTCTGCATACGACCAAAGTTTTACTCTTGATATAGAAATTGTGAAGAGTAAAGCTTTGAAATTTACTTTAGTGCTTCACTAAGGTCTGGCAGCCATCAGGAGTTAGAACCTCATGTTCAATTTCAAGCAACGAACTCTGTATATATTGCTAGAACACAAGTTAAAGTATACACCTTGCCATTTATTCAATGGCACCACCTTTGAGTGCTGGTTTACTGAGCAGTGAAGGTGGATTTAACACTAGCTGCATCATGAGTTGGTCTCCTTGAAATGTCGAGAGTGGATTCAAGAGTCTAATGAAGTGTTGTTACTAATATCTTGAGGGTAAGACGGAGTGGTTGCAAGGAATAGCTAATCCAAGAGAGTCAATACGAGCATCAGGAACTGCTGGTGATACATCTAGTCACTTCTGGTGAAGACATCCTAATCAACTGCAGCAACAGAGTTCAAAATGTCAAAAGAAACCATCAAACGAGACAACCTTCTACTAGTTAGTAAGTAACGATATATATCGAATCCAGATGATGAGACAAATCTGATTGAGAGATAGCTTGTAAGCGAAACTTTTAACTTATTATATAGGCTACTGAAGTCTCGGATTGATCTCTGTTCCTGTGATGTAATATTCAGCCTGGCCTACAAAGGCTGGAATGCCTTTATTTGTTGGGCTTCAGTGTTTTATTTCTCTAGTCAGTGCTCGTTTTCTTTTTAGACGTTCAACTTTTTGTTTTCAACGTTCTTTTAAACATCAGAACAATTCGAGACTTCAACTTTTTGTCTTTAACGTTCTTTCAAACATCAGAACGAATCGAGACTTCAGATATGGATGTTTTTAATTAAGCCCTTCCTTTGAATAGCAGCCGGAGATTGTCCATTCGCAGCAATTACAGTTTTCACCAACGAACTTTCTATGCTTGGCTAGGAACATCAAGCTGACTTGAGTTGAATGCTTGACCACTAGGCGGCCTGGTAGAGACGAATTTGTTTTGGAGATGCACCTCGTTCATCAGACTCTCGATGCAAAAATTGCAGTGATTTGTGTACTCTTCAAGCTTGGAAAGCCCAACAGATTTCTCGACAAGGTATCTCAATCTATTGTCAAACCTTCAGATGAGGTCCGATTGTTAGCATCAATTTGCACCTATATTGATCGTTCCTTGTCACCTAACCGGTCTTTTGTAAGGGCCAACAGCTTGTTACTCGTACCGTTTTCCTTGTCTGTGAAGAAAATTATATTTCTCAGTTTGGGGACCTCATTCCAGACGTGGAGGAGGATTCGTCCGTGCAAGTGAATGACATAGATGCGGCCGAACTGGATTTAAGCAACGTATTCATCCAGTACATAGGCTCTCTAACCACAAAACCCTATACCGAGAATGTTTTTCGGACTGTGACATGTGGAAGACCTGGATTTAAGCAACGTATTCATCCAGTACATAGGCTCTCTAACCACAAAACACTATACCGAGAATGTTTTTTGGACTGTGACATGTGGAAACGTACGTACACGCTTCACTCGTTTTTGAGTTCTGTTTAGATACATATAGATATCTTTTGAATATTGATATCAATATATATATCCAGCTGCAACTATTTCTGAAATCTGCCAAGTGTCTAGATACAAGGTTGTGAGTCGCGTCCAAATTACCGAGTCGCCCTGTCTGATCAAGAATTTAGGATTGCCCTCAGCAATCCTAAGTCTCTCTCGTTGGTTTGTGAGATAATTGTTCCATTGCATGGCAGTGATCATGAAGCTCTAGAAGCTCGCAAACCAAAATGGTTTTGTTGGACTTTGGTTTTAAGTCTTAAAACCAAAGCAGCTATGACTACAGACTGAACGTTGTTAGAAAGAAGATAGCCTGTCTAAGCATAGGCATGAGCTACTTAATCCACTCAACATCAATCGACATCTGATGGTCTAAGACTTCAAATTACCGCAAATTATAGCAAGAATCAGGACGGAGAAGTTGAACAGATAGCACTTCCACGAGAATATGTCACATTGCTTCACGCTATTACACACAGAGGTAGCTTCGAATCAGAGCCTTTAACGAACCAGCAAGAACTAAACTTGATCGCTCTTGCAAGCATCCGTACTGACCGGCCTAACAAAGGAGGGCAGTGCAAGATGTTTACAGTGTCAGAAGACGTGAGCGGAAGGACATGGCACTTTGCTTTCTCTTTTCCTATGTTGGCCTCAAAATCTGGAAAATCGTCCTCGAAGGACCCACGCCGCCCCAGTATACTGGTTTGATACTGCTATTCATAACATCTGGTCGTAGCTGTCCTGAAAATTGCTTTGTTACAAGCGGCAACTAAAAAACACATCTGGATGTATTCCTACCCTGTGCGAAGGAACCAACTTTTAGCATACCCAATTGGGGTCTGTAAAAACGGAGCAAATCGATGAATAAGAGGCATAACCCGCGCACTGAGTTTTGTCCATGCATTGCGATGATATGTTGAACTGGTCGGAGATTGATACTTCAGCTTTAGTAACTGCAGAAACAATCCCATCATATGATTAAATTAGAACATAAGGTCATGTAAAGGCAACAGATAATCATGAAAGTAGACAAATTTCAGCACCCACCTGCCAGTAGACTAGCGTCTGCACAAGATTTCGTTGCGGACTGTGAAAAGACGGAAAGAAGAGTCATCAATACCAAAAAGTGGAAATAACAACTTAGCATACAGCACAAAAATGTTTAATCCTTCTAGTATTTTTCCACAACAATCTTCACTGTCCAGCAGTTTGATGTATGAATGTATGTATTAAATGAAAGAGTTCAAGGTGAGCACTTACGTAACGACCATGAAGATCAAGAGAAAACCTAATCCAACTTCAACGTTGGCACTGAGGCTACGTATAGCTACGGTGTTCGCCTCCACCAAGGCACATGGCTTCGCCAAAAATTTTCTGCACCATTCAAGAGTCGATTGAGGCAAAAGAACTAGACGACCCACGACAGATAAGCACTGCAATAATTCTACCAATCTCATTACTTCGATAATTAAGAACTCTAAGTGGGATTTGTTTACTTCGAGCAAACCCCGCATCTTCCATGCGATGAACATTATGATACATCGAGTGAAGTTTTCCACTAGATTAAAATACTAAACAGAACTTGATGTCTGTCACATGCTCTCCCAATACGCCTGAATTTAGGTTAATCCAAATGCGAATAGTAAAACGTTTTTTACGATAAAAACAAATTCGGGCAATTATAAGCCAGGACAAAAGGACAAAGCATACAATGACATATAGAAATGAACCATTACAGTACAAAAATCCTCAAAAGATGTGGGAATATAAGAAGCCGTAGTTGACGCCATCTTTTTAAATCGATTGTCAAAAAGGATCTTTAGGGTTTACGGAACCTTTTGATTAAGTCAAAAACTACTTATAAAGCTATCATACGACTGTGAACACAAAAACTTGAATCTACTTCATCAGAAAAATATTAAACACACAATTGTATCTCCACTGCTTTCAAGGTATGTGTGGAGAGTGAACCGATCTGAATACGAAGGCTTTCACATCTGATCGTGGATGCTAGTACATTAATATTGAAAGCTTAGTTTGAAGCAATAAACCACAATGGAGTCTACAGTGAATAAGGATTCCTCTCATCTGAATATTCAGTAGGAAAACAGACGCATCAAGCCTAATGTCTCTAGATTTAAAGATAAATGCAGATTAGCTTAAAATAGTGATATTTAAGCATGGAATTCATTTTAAGTTCACAATGAGTTGCTAACTAGCTGAGAATGCAAGTAAACAATGAGAGGTTAGGTCAATCGTATATCGTCCGTCAGAAGTATAGATTAGAAGAAGAGATCAGTCTTAATTTATTAGACACTACGTGGAAACATCTGAGCCAGATCTTAAGAATCTCCAAAATTGGACAGAAATCTGGCACAAGAGGATGGTTGCGTTAGTGCTGACGCAGTACTTGTTGGTGCTTTCAGCTCAATCATTTCAAGTCGTTAATCATTTTCAATCCCCGGCACTAGAAATCATACGTATGACTACCATCACTCTCTGTTGATAAATACATACATACATACATACATAAATACATATATGGACAGATTGGGAGACTCACTCGGAAAAAGTTGAACGATGATCAACAAGTAGCTCGTATTCATTCTTTTAAACGTCTGGACCTCGCTACATTACCTGTAAAGTGTGGTGTTGTTGAAGTTGCGCTTCAAGTAGGGTACTACTTGCTCTAGCGCTCGACATGCTACTGGCACGACCGCATCTACATGGGACACAAAGTTTACTCAGTTCAAGCTTATGGTACTTTTTGTTGAATAAAACACCAACATCATAGCGCCCATCTTGTGTACAACAACTTTTAAAGATGAAGAGCAAAAAAAAATGAGTGCACCATCTTCTTTATCAGTGCAACATGCTCCAGATGTCGATCTGTGATACAGACAGCCAGCGCTTGTGCTACAAGATTCTAATCATCTACTGTTTCCTACAATCATTACAACGATTGCAGACTACAACCCAGATAAAAAGTGCTTAGTACCAGGCTTAATCATGTAGAATGGTCGAGAGGGCAAGATTCAATACATACCGCCAGCGCTAGTTTCTTAAAAATCCAATTTCCTAACGTCCTTTACAGTCAATGTACCATTTATAGCATACCCTTCAGATCAAAGATGCTTAGATACTAGCGGAAATTGGCAACGGGGATAACAAGGCACGCGAACCGAACCCCTTAATTGTGCTGCAAAGGAGCAGAACTATTGACGACATTTTAACTGAATGATAAGGTTAAGATGATAAATGTTCAGCTAGCCAGACGAGTTAAGAACCAAACTTCCAATGTTTACAACAACATAGAGAGCAAAGATGCCCAAGTTGCAACACGAGTTAGAAAACTTGTTCCGAATCACTTGAACTAGAAAAAGACTTCCGAGGCATCCAGACAAATTGGTTCAGTCGAATTTTGACTAAATGAGTAAAAAAATAGAGAAATACTACTGAATGAAGAGGTGTCTTGACTCCAGTGGAATTGATCCCATAAAATGAAATTAGTGGAATTACAAGGATGCTAGAGAGTGTTGGGAAGAAAGAGCAGCCGAACCCTCCTCTTTGATCAGAACAGAAGAATGCACTCTGTTGACCAAGACCACGGTCTTGATGTTGTGGATCCCTCCCCTTCAAGTTATTCGTATCGGGTCGTACCATGTCAATTCTGAGAAATTCATTCCGAAAACAAATGAAAACAATGTAGATATGAAAATTCAAAAAATTGTTGACAAAAGGCCCTCTAAGGATCCCAACCGAATTTGAAATCCCAACAACGTCTACTCGTACGGGACCACCTTTGGATTTGTGACTGAGCCAAAACTCTTGTACACACCCAAACATGGTAGCCTTTTCTCTAACAAAGTCTTAGATAACCTTGTAATGTGATGGTTTATCATCATCAGGACTTTCCAGCTGCGTTCCATTCATCGCTTGTGCCCTTACCTCAAGCAACAAAAATTGCTAGTTTGGAAAGTTGAGTTTATGGAGAGATCACACTAGGCTTAGTTATCGCCCCTAATATAAACGCTTCAAAAACCACCGCCTCCCAAATTTGAATCTCAGCAGAAAACTTGTTATCTTCCCTGTGCTCAAGGCCTCCCTTGTCTCTTACAACTGAAATATCACGTCATTAACCACAAGGGCTTGACATGCAAGGGGACCGAATAGAACAAATCTGGGAGGTACAACCACACCGGGCTTTCGTTATCGAATATATCCATACGTTGTAACTGAAGACCAGTAAAGAACAGGACCTTGTCCTTCACAAGTAAAGGGGGTCTATGATGAGACTCCAGGGTCACTGGTGGTAACATACAATAAATTACCCTTCCGCACTATGTGTCAGCGTATTTTGAAAGGCCTCTGAGACGCTTACCTTAGTGCAATAAGGTCCTAGTTGTTATCTCTAAAATGTCGGCATATTAGTCGGGGAAAACCCGTCCAAAACGACAAAACAAACTGGTCGCATCAGCTTGTTGCGCAGCTTCTGTCGTCGCTCAGATATATACAAATCTCGAACCTCAAGACCCTTAAACACGTCAAACCAGACTGCTTATATGATTATGGGATTTTCTTCTGACCTCATCACACGCGATGGATTCCAGCACGATGGAAATTTTCAGTCCACGATCCATCCATCGCTTATGCCTGTATATCGAGCATTGTTGATTGATCCATGCCCATTATATTTAACTACAGCTCACTGACATTCGCTATGCCTTCATGCTAAGTTATATTTTTTTGATCTGTAATTTAATTTCTCACGATGTTTGTGTCCAGTCTAAGCGGATGAAAACTCGGTAATTTAACCCAGTTTAGGTCTAGAGATTTATGCTGCTTAAAGGTTGTGATAGTAGGGAAATATCAACGTCTATTGATAATTGTAAGACCCAAATGTAATATGCAGACCAACATATTCTACTTGTAAGTGTACCAACAATGAGGACCAGCCACCAAAAAAAAAATTGAATCTCTTGCCTGTGGGGCCACGAAGAATGGAAAATGCATCAAAGATTTCAGTGTGATAGCAAAACTCACACTTAATTGGCGAGAAGGAAGAAGCGAAAGCTATGCAGTACAGAAGGTGGAGAAAATCAGCTCCCATGATTATAGACTGCAACCATGCTTGAAGGCCTTGCCAATTCCAGGATCGAGGGGCCTAAAATCCACAACTGCAAATTAGTCATCAACTGGAAAAATTATCATTTTCTTAACTCTTGGAGTGCAAGGCATCATGAATACTTCAGAAAACCAGACGGCTGTCAGCATAAGGTAGAGGATTACCCCGTAGGCACTGTACAGAGAATGACCACAAGCTACAGCTGTTCCCCACAACGTGAAGCGATAGGCACGATCACCAAGTCCTCGCGGTAAGAAGGGGAACAGAGCCAGAATTGCCATGATTAGCACCTGCCACGCCAAAAAATGTAGACCTCCGTAAGAAACCTCAACTTAGAAAGGCAGTAGAAGAGAGTCGCTCAAACTAACGGTTAATCCATTTTCAGACATACCCTAACGGGAATAGGATGTTGAAAGCATCTGATAGCACTCTCATAGTGAGATGCATCACCATTAATGGAATGCGCACATCCCAAAGACAAGTGAGCAGCAGTTACATGGGCGAGCCAGTTCACATTAATACGAAATTGCATGGGGTGAGGCCTGAAGGGGTACCCCTTCACGCCTCACCCCACTCAATATCGAACACTGTGGTGCTGCCCAGAGTAAGGGACTCCGACGCTAAAAAAGTTATCAAACACCAATCGGAACTGAGTTATAGAACAAAGGGATAGGAACTACCCAGGCATTGGCCAAAAATTGGATGGTTTGACGATCCAACCTAAGAGGTCCACTTGCTGCAGGAGTTGGAGTAGGCTGCGATCTAGGCCGACTGGTCCCTGCTTGTCAGACGAAAAGTTAATTACCAAATCACTCAAGCTAAGAAATCCAAACACAACATGAGATTCAATCATTGATGATCCTGCTTGAAAAAAGATTCAACTCCTCCACATCAGAAATCATATACCCTTGCAAGTTCGTCACTTGCAGTGACTGTCTTTGGTTCATGAAAATCTAAAAGCATCAGGTATCAAGCGAAAAGTACAGAGGGGAACTACAACATGACAGACTCTAAGTAAAGGATAAGAACCTTGATGAACCGGGCGTTCCGGCTCTGCACGTGTTGAGGTAGAGGGTTTCTTCTTTATTGAGAGGCCCTCCAATTTCAGTTCGGGATCCTGGTACACCGCAAAGCCAAGCGGATTCAAAACCGTAGAACATGCTTGCAAGAAGATTACGCTTCATCCCATAAGTAAAAATCAGATGAAGGCATTCCCTGATCAGAGCAGTTCTACTACCATACTTCCGAATTCCTAAAATCGGTCACGCGAGTAATCTGTTGCATACGAGACATAACTAGCAACTGGTTTAAGGTGGAATAGTAGCAAAAGTTTAAAAAAAAATAACAGAAGGACGAGCTCTCAACTTTTAAAATTGTGAAACATCGGGAAATGAGGAACAAAATTGCATTCCAACCCTAAGCTCTCAATTCGTTCCAAGAATTCATCTAACTGACAAGGATAAGCACAAAATGCTTTATTTCATCACGTAAAGGCCTATAGCTCTTTTTGCTAAAGCGGCGTATAATCCTTGAATATGTAACTCTCAGCTGTGTAAGCAGTCTGGGTGTAGAAGGCTGTGGGAAGGGGGAGTTGAGGCCATTAGAGTGTGAACATACAATATGCCGCTGGTAGTATTTCAGCTGGTAGTGACGACGAACTTCAGGCTTGGCAGCCATATCTTCCGGCATCAAAACATTGGCCCAATACTCGATCCATTTAGAGTCCCCCTCATAATCATAGGCCAGTGCCTGCGCCTTCTTTTGCTCTTGCAAATCCGAAGCCATCCTTCCTTACTTCTTAAACCTGATCCAGGGAAATAATCGGAAATTAGTTGCCCTTTAAAACTCCACTTCAGATGATCGCATCTTCAAACCGCGGAGAAATCGTGACGTAATACACGAGTATTGTAAAATGAAGCACTCTCAGCATACAAACGGCTTTAAGACTACCCACAGACGCGGAAAACACTAAATTTTCAAGCCATTCCATCAAGCCATTCCAATACACAAACGTGTATCTGATCGCACTGTGGGGAAAACGTATTGGACGTTGAGGAAGGCCGGGAACAGAGACTGATCGAAATACAGAGTCAAAAGCTAACGATGCGCCAAGAACAGTGATTGACAATCAACTCATACTGATTCTTTCACCCGTCTCGACCTTTACAAATTACCTGTGAAGGATGGTGTAATTGAAGTTGAGCTCCAAGTTCGATAATACTTGCTTCAGCGCTCGACATGCTACAGGCACGACCGCATCTACACGGGACACAAAATTCGCTCAATTAAATGCCGTACTTGCCGCACAAAAAACGTAGATCAATGTGCACTCCGTCTTCTTTATCACTGCGTTTTCCCCATAGGTCGATCGGTAACACTGCAGCCAGCGCTCGGGCTACGAGTTGGTGAACTCCTACCATTGGTTCCGGCCAATTAAACGTTCGGAGAATAAATTAAAGTCCAAGACACTCCGACAACAATTTCTGAATGACTACGACGGCAAATCTGTCATACATACATCCGGCGCGTGCTCCACAAGGGACCGAGGTTTTAGCGTTGGTTCTGAACCCATTTTCGAGTTACAGCATACCTTCCAGATCCGAAAGGCTCGAGGGTGTTTCACAAGCCCTCCTGCCGTAGTAACAGGCCAGTGCTCTCGACGGGACTTTGCGAACATCATTTGGTGCGCTCCCGTACGGAAGAACAAGCACTCGCCTAGGGATTTCCGGGTCACCGGGGAGCCGAATATTCTCTAGGCCATGTTGGCTCTGATTTGGAAGCTGCAGTGAGTTTCAAGGCAGTAGGCAACAGTTTCTTCGCACCACAGTTTGATTCTGTGCGCTCTTTGTGACAATTGACAAACCCCTCGTTGCACTATTTCGAGCCTTGGAGGCTATTTAAAAGAACCTCTCTTAGGGAGTTTTGGTCACCGTCGAGGTGGTGACTACAAATGGCATAGACTGCATTTTCATATCGTGGAGATGTCTGCGTGAGACACTCTGGACTGGACTTTGATACATGTCAATATCAAGCCCTATCTTCCCAGCCCAGAACAAGATGAAGTTTAAAATTTATATGGGTGCATATTTACAAGCTTACATATAGTCACTTACTTCCTCTATGGATCTAGAGTTTCATATTAACGCCGAATAGTTGAACACTACTTTGCGGATACTGATTTCATTGGGTTTGTATTTTCCTTTTGATTTTGACGAGAAAATCAGGTGATTTGAATAAAGACAAATATAGAGTCCAACAAATTTATCAAAATATCACATATTCACTACACATATGCTGCACACATTGAGAGCTAACCTGAGAACAATTTAAATCACAATGTCCCCTTCGCAAGAGCCACCCCCAATGTGCAAATCGTTTAATACTCCGACAGCAGCCGCTTGACCCCACGACTATCTAAAGGATGACCTATGATGAAGAATTCAGAATCAGAACTCGTTAGAGGAGTCAACCGGGTAGGTTGCGTGTGGAAAAATTGTTACAGTTCCGATCAAATAGAAAATAAGGTAAAACTGAGACAAGAAAACTCATTTTCAAGCAATCTAATGAAAATTAGAAGTGCAAAAGTACCAACTTATAGCATTAACCATATTTGTAGAGTTTGCCGTTGCACATAGCGTATTTATCAATCTGATATGTGACAGAATAACTGATGAGGTGATTCTTGATCTCTTTGGATGGGTGGCGATTGTGACTGGAGCAGCCGAGGGAAGGTCTTCAAGTATAGGAATATGTGGAGATGAAATCTCCTTAAATCATTTCGATTTAAAATATGGAGCTATGAATTTGGATTTGTCCATGTGAATGAGTGCACAAAAGCCTACTATACAATGTGAAAGAATGTATACTTGTTTAAACTATTGTGTAACTAATTTTATACAACATGTATTCATTTCTCTACAAAGAGTATTCATCACCAATAAATTTAGTAGGCTAGATGATAAAACATTCAAGTTTCCTAATGTTTGTTGATAGTTTGAAAGCTCAGATTCAGATAATATAACAACTATATCTCATCATGACACTATTGAAGTTTAATGTTGTTTTTTTATTCATAAAACACCATTTTATTTAATAACCTAGAAGAGTTTTCAAAGCTTTCAAATATTCTATGTGACATATTTTCAAGTTACAATTACTAACAGTTGATAAGTTTTTCAACAAAAAGCAGATAACATAAACATTATAGTTCTAACTTACATTGTATGGAACTGAATAGACACAACTTGATGATAATTCTCACATGATATAAATATAGCAACATTTTATATTGTTTAAATATAAAATAAATAGTTATGCCAGATTTTACATCAACTATTTCAAATATCATGTTCACAAATAAATTTCAAAGACTATTTGATCAGTAGATGATCATTCATTTTGATCCTCGCATAAAGAAAGTTTCAATAAGAATAGTAATATTATATGATATATTATATTTGTAATAATTGAATCAAGAAAAAATTGATCAATATACATATATATATATAACTCGTAATATGTCATCATCGATTTTCATAAATATTATTTTAATATAAATATCAAATTTTGATATTTATTTTACACAAAGCTGCATGTATATTATAATGTAAAGATATTTACATTAAAAAACTGATAATTATTTAATTTTTAAAAATCCACAGCGATGTTGTAAAATAATGTATGATTTATATGATGTTTTGTAAAATTCAGAAAACATTTTTTTTACATATTTTAACTAAAATAAGAATAATTTACAAATTTAATGAATTTTTCTATATAATATCATCATCAATGAAAAAAATGCATATACCTCATGGAGTAGATTATGATGTGTTTTTGAAGTCAATTTAGATCTTGTTAACTTTGACTAGCTTAACTATGGTTATATACTTCACTAGCTTGTCACAGTGTGAAACAACTAACTTAGATCAGAATAATGGTTTATCCTTATCCTCAACGATGTGAATCGTGTAATTCGTTTGTTGGGTGTGGGTCAAGTATGTGGTAGTTTGTGTTCAATGTCATCAGTTTTGTCACTTGCAGTAGAACTTTTATTTATAACCATATTATATTGTGTAGCTTAAAGTAGAGATTTTGATTTTAGAAGTTATTCAAAATAATTTTGAAAGTAAAGTAAGAAATAATTAATAAGAAAGGCATGGAATGTTTTTTTAGGATAAATTTGACCATTCAATCATAAATTATCATCTTTTTTCTACATTGATATTAATGCTTCATTGTGTCAAAACTGTTGTCATATGTGATGTTATATGGTATGATAGCTAACGTGATATCAATATAAATAAAAGTGAAATATGTATTTGTACACACTACAATCCTGCATGATTATTAAATGACATGGATTTGAAAACGAATATTATAATATTTATAATCAAATCTGATTTTAATTCTAAAGTTTTGTCACACATACTTTTTCTCCAATTCTTTACACATTTTAATATTTATTTGAGTTAAAACTAATGAAAAATCTACAGTTCTATAAATCTATATTTTTTATCATTTTGAAACTCTATTAAAATTTCTAACTTGTTGAGCAAGACAAAAAAATTAATTCGAAAATTATGACATTATCAGAAAAAAAGCATTAACATGTATGTTTTGATGGTATTCAAACATTTCCAACTCGCCTTTGGAATTCCATGCTTTTCCAAAGGCGAGTTGGAGTAAGATTAGAGTAAAAGATTAAATAATCATCAAAAGAGTTTCTTATTGCTTACGTAATAGTAAATTGATATGATTACTATTTGAACACATCCATGCCTGCGACCGAATGAAATATTGTACTGGCACATAATGGGATACCTCATGTCTTCTGCAGAAACGCTGCTTTGCTGAGGGAAAATAGATGTGTTCAAAAGCAAAGATGTGACGCAAACCGGGAAGGAAATAAGACCCGGAAAATTATCGAGCGTTTAATCGGGAAAGAACAGCGAAACGTCAGAGCAGACGCGCCGGGCTCCAGCCGGAGATGAGCGTTATCCTCTTCCGTGCCTGTTTTGGCCTGCGCCAGCGGATCATCTTCTCGCCCGAGTGATGACACAGCAGCAGAATCTTCGTCTTCGTCGTCCTCGTTTCCTTCGGCCTCTCCGTGTCCACTGACATGAAATTCTAGAGGGGAAGGTGATGTGAAATTATTGGAGTTGTGAACTCTGACGAGACGAGAGGAGAATTGGAACCGCGCGGAGCAGGAGGATGGCCCCGAAGAAGGGCGCCACTCGGAAGTTTGCGGAAGATGCACCGTGGAGAGCCGCATCAGGAGAGAAGACAGTTCCCAAAATTTCTCAGGGTGTCGTGTGTAATGTGCGCGAGGGTCCCAATTTTAACTATGCTATGAGCGTTCTCAAGGTATTTTTCGTGCTCGTCTGACTCTTCGTGGAATTGAAAGCGCTTGCAGATGCTCATTGGTTTCTCCAATTTCTGTTTGTGGTTTCAAATTTTGATGTTCTTTAGAGATGAACTAGGTGATCAAAAGAACCGCGCTCGGTTGTCAGAGCTGTTAGGTCCTGTATTGTGAATGCAGTGGGAGGTTTGTGAAATTGTTCTACAGAGTGGTGAAAATGCTTGAAGAAGTGGAATCAATTACTTGTGCTCTGTTTTGAGACGGCTTAATATTGTACAGTGATAATGGTGAAGTGTACTGCTCCCTGCATGCTTGCAAGACCTTCAGTCGACAGTGAGATAGATCAAGTAATTTTCATCGTTGCATTTTCACTGGTTCGATATATCGTCTGATAAAAAATTAAACATATCAAGTCCTTGTGGTCCTTACTTTGCACGCCCTAGACGAGCTTTGGGCTTCATTATGGAGAGTCCTTATATTCTGGAAAAACGTTATAGATATGATATGACGTTTAGATTGTTTGGTAGTTCAATATGCCGCACTCAGCATGTATGACATCAAATATGTACTAGGTTGGATTAGGAGATGGCCCTGGCATACTACATTGGACTTTAGGAACATGGACAAGATCGGAGCAGAACTTGCACTAATAATATCTTTTAAGGTTCCAATGGATGCCGACGAGCTCACGGGGAGCTTGCCGTTCAGCTCTTATACCTTGGTCTATAAAAGCTCCTCGTATGCCACCCCTTTGTTAAGCAGCGGTGACTCTCTTTTTCAGGGTTTTGAGTCCGGTAATTTTCGATCTCATGAAATATAGCAAATCTGCTTAGCGAGTCGAGGTTCTACTGAGAAGCTGTAAATTAAATGATCGAAACTAGGGCTGAAAGCTTGACTGCACTTTGTGAGAAAATATGATTACGTTCATCATTTAGCCCTACTTGACGGCTGTTTTTGGCTGATGCTGTTCGACCTGGCACGCAGTGCCTCGGCTTGAGTCAGCCGCATGCTTCTCTAAATCAATGCCAGTGTGGTCTATGCGCAGCATCCCGACCCCATAGGTTATGGACTAGCCTCTGAAGCTTTTGTGGAGCCAGCAGGCCCCGACTGTATCATTCCTGGTCTTACTAGACCTGTGAGAGTGCTTGGTGTCCAGGTAAGATCATCAGATTTGTTGCATATCGGAGTATACACATTTGTATAAAGTTTGACAATTTACGATTTGTTCTAGATTCAGTACTTATTTCTGCTTGTTTTGCAGGTTTGGCCCGTTCCTTTGCCGCAAAATTTCAGCACGAAGGCTCTTGAACCCATTGGGCGTGAATTGAAGACTTTTAGCAAGGTAGGTTTTCATCTCACATCTGAAATTAATCTCGCAAGCGCAAAGAACCTGATGGAAATAGCTTTGAAATGCAGGTTACATTATGCTTATATAGATACATCATATTATGAGAGAGGCATGTCATTTTTGCCCAAAATACGGTTTTTATGAAAGTACATTATCGACCTCTGTCACTTGCAATCTGATGAAACCAATATTTCATGTTTCCTCGAAGTCAGACCTCTGACAATAATATCTCCTGGACCATTTACATGAACTGCGTTAAAGTATACAAGAATGCATACCTGCATTTCAAATTTATGAAATTCGACATGTTGTGAGTCTACGAATTGTCAGAATAGATTCCTCAATTGACCTAAGGTTTTCGATTTGACCGTATAATTTGTTCATTAATCAAGCTGAACCGTTCGAACCTTCGCATTGTGACAACTTCAGTAAAGACTCTATCTACGCTAATTTTAAAGTAGCCCACTGCATAGTCTTATCCTGAGCACTGCCTTCCTCCTAACTTCTTTGTAAAAGCATTACCCTCGTTACGCACGCCTTCTCGTAGTGAGGCCTTCCAAGGAACCAGCGAAGCTGTCTGAAAGGAAAGTCATTTATCTGTAGACCCTTATTTATATTTCAATCAAGGAGTCCAGCTTTACTTGTCATAGTCTAAGTACGGGTGCTGATTGTCTTTGCAGCTACTGGACAAGGCGTTCGAGCTCATGCAGGCACCCTTTGGCGAGCGATAAGGGGCCAGTTCTCGGTGGGTGCTGCAATGACGAATTCTTACACAAAGAGTAGAGCTGGGATGGTATCAACAGACCAGCGCACTCGAGAGAAAATCATGTAGTTATGGAAGTCAGGGTTGTACCAACTTTAGTTAAAACAGTCACGTGGTGCCATGAATATCCTGTAAAGATTAGAATCTCAAGCGGCAATAGCGAGTGAATTAGAGTTCATTTTACTAAACGTAAGCGCCGCAGAGCAGTTACCTCAAAGCATCACAATAGGAAGTTTTGCTGTTGTCTATTGATGTGGAGTAAGATAAGGCTGGCGATACTGAAGGTGCCATTATTGCCAGAGTTTCGAGGAATCAAAAAGGGTTCGAAGAATCATTTCTTTTGCATCTTATTATGGTAACGTCTGTATGCTCCTCAAGACCATGTGCCCCGAGCACCAGTCCTTAAACTGCGATATTTTGTGGATATGACCGAAAACTGTACATAGGTGCACAGTGTATAGCCAGTTGATTTCCATTCAGCTTTTAGTAAACTTGGTCAACAGGTCTACAGGACCTTACATCGTGAGTAGTTTCAGAGCTCTCATTGTTGCTGAATTAAACTCTCGTTGAAGTTCATCAAAATTGTCTAAAGCGTTCATTTTTCTGTCGAAGCAATGTGATTGATCTTGAATTATTGTCCATGAAAACCAATCGGAACCATGAGAGGAGCATGCTAGTGAAGCAACTAGTAAAGCAGTGCTTTAGCCATAACTTAGTGAAGCAGTGCTTCAGAGAATGCAGCGTTTCTTTAGAGTAGCTACAGCTCTGCCCTGCAAAGTAGATAAACACAATGAAGAAGAATCACAGCTGGATGCAAAGCGACGAGCTCCTGTGAGAACAAGTAAATCGATACACTCTTGTCTGGAAGAGATGGATAATCTTTATATAACTGAGAGAAGTAAATGGACTACTCAATATTGAAAGTGGTGCGCCAGACCGGGATATTGTGCGCACTGTACTGCCTCGTACTGTTCCAGAACACTCACAAATCGTCATGCTCGAAGGTTTTGTCTTCTAGTGAAATTCAGGTACCCTCGGTCGGCTTGGTTTCTTCCGTACACCCTGAAATCGTTGAACCTTCCGAAGGGTCTTCATTCAAGTTACTGCTCCACCAATCTACCAAGGACGGAAGACCATAATTGTCAAGGTGCGTCAGATCAATAATGGAGTTAACATTATTATCTCATCCCCAACTCTCTTTCATCTTGATATCTAGTTCAGATTGTACGAATCCTCATGTAGTAATCTAGACGCAACAAAATTTCCACTAATTCGAGCAGCAAAGTGTCGAGGCGCAGGAAGTTGCGGAAAAAACCTCCAGAGCCAGCTTCAACTACGGTGGCTCGCACAGTGTCGAGGATGTCATCTTGCAATTTGATCTCCTTTTCCTGAAGAGAGCATGTAGGCAGTTAGTAGCACTAATCGCCATCCGTTCAAACTTTATATAAAATAGTCCAGTGTATATAGCGTTCCGCCATAAAGACTGGACTGCCGGTACTATATGTTCCGATCCAATTTAACAGGGCACGTAAAGGATCGCCAGAAGTACAGACTTTATTCTCAAGCAGATCCTCTTAAAACGTGGACCGATTATCATTCCCACAAACAGGCTTCATGCACTTTGCTACAGAAGGTGATGGTAGGTAATCTTTTATATATAAATTCCAGGTTTCGAGGCTCAGTAGAAAGACAGAACAAGCAATGTTTCAAAATGAGGACAATCTTTCTTGTTGTGCAGAACAGATTTGTAGTTATTTTCCTGAGAACACTCAGCATGACTACAGCTTTGATAACCCATTTAGTCGCCTGAATTGTTAAAAAATCAAAGTATGGTGCCTGCGGACGAGGGATAGGGACTTGCTTGCTGGGTACACTGATACTGGAGGTCAGACAACGTTGCTGCCATTTTGTTGCACCGATAATGATGTTCCAGCTGAAGTGGTCCACCAGGTCTTGGGAATGGGGGTCCTAGAGCCTGCAAAGTACAAGCACAGGACAGTTGGACCTCCTCAACGATTTAGTTAATTAGTTATACCTTTGAAAGAATAACCTTCTTGAGGACATTACTTCAACTTGGCATGGAAATCTACTCATGTCTGTAGCGTACGACTGTTCTCATTGCTCAGCCTACTTTCAGACAACCATGTCTCAAAATAATCTCATGCACTTCACGTGTATAAGCAACGGTTTGGGTACCAGTTCAAGAGACTACGTTGGTGAATGGGTGAATGGATAACAGGTTCGCACCCATTCACCAACCTGTTATCGGTACAAGATATTCAAGCACGACTAAGAATTGTGATATATGCAAACCAAGCTGGAGAGCTTGGTTTGCATGTTTGGTATGTAGATTTACCTGTCTAGCAGCTGCAAGCTCCAAAGTCAGGGCGTTGATCAACAGATCGTCATTTTCACTTTTGCTTACTAAAACTGCCACCTTGGCCTTGGCATCACGTATCTGTCAAGCACAACACCTTACATATATTTTATAACTGTATTTGGTATCATTGATCTATTGGGGTTCTAATTGTGGCATCAGCCGTGAGGAGCCGCAATGGAAATATTTACTGGATCAAACGATAATCAGAAATTCCCGTTTTTTGTGATATCTAAATACAACCTCATGATTTAGAAGGAGAGTAAAGGCTAATCCGAGCCGTCGTTGACTTAGTAGCAAAAAGTTTTGCTGTTGAGCGAGAATCAGACTTGATAGTCTGGAGCGAACGTGCCTGTTGGTTGAACATGTTGCACTTTAGAAAGGTTCTAGGCCGCACAGACCGGACCAATACTGCGAAAGGTAGAGCAGGATGGTTCTTCTTACTTCAATTTCCAAAATATTTTTCCGAGCAATAGTCTTATCGAGTTTGTTTTTGGTCATCTCCCAATGATCTCGAAGCAACTGCAGTAAAATTCGAACAAAGAGGATCCTGTTATTCATCAACATCTCTAACACAGGATGATCAATAGAGGAGCTACATGGTGTGATCTATTGACACAAATATCAGAAGTAATCAAACGTTGGCTACAGGAAGACAGATCCATACATTATAGCTGGTTGCTAGGTTCCCAAGCTCTTTCCTTCGCTCGTAGTTTGCTGCTTCCAGCTGATTTCGATGCATCAGTTGAAGATCCACCATCTTCCGTTGTTCATTGTAGGTAGCTGGTCGACTTTCCCCACTTGCAATAGGCTCAAGTTCATTGAGTCTCTTCTGGGACTCCGCCAGTTGGCCCTGCGAGTTGTTCATTACAATGCCAAAATATTAGTCTGCAAGCCCTACAGCTCATACGCCAAAAGGTTTTGGAAAGAGTGCAAGTTTTGGGATGTAACAGTTAAAAGTTCTCATCAACTTCCTACAGATTGCTCTTGGAGCAAGAGGTAAGCTTGTGCTGCTTTCAAGCCGAGAATTGTGTCTCGTATTCCTTGGGGGACACGGGGATACTGGATACAAGATCACTATACATAGTTCAGTTTGGACCTAGATATGTGCAGACCCATAGTGCTAAAAGTCGGATACATTGATTCATTGAAAACAAAGCAAGGACCAGGGCAGATCAAAAAGAAAAAAATGGTCAGTGATCACCTTCAAAAGAGCAATTTGCTCACTCCTTCCTCTCCAAGTGGTGCCCTCTTCAAGAATCTGCAGTTTCTCAGAAGTCCAATCTCAGTTCTTGATATGAATGGCTTACCTCAATCAGAGATGGAACGCTAATACTTTCCTCTAATAGAAGCTACAACATAATTCGCATTATCATATGTAACGCATGAGACATCCAGATTCAAACTATTAGGATCAATGATCTTGTCAACCCTTAATGCTGGACAAGCTGTTCAAATCTTATGCTTGTCGTAGCTTCAAGACCATAGGGTCTTCGCCCTAACCTGGTGGTGCTCGTATGAATCGATTGAGAAATTGGCGAACACCGGCCATAAGTACAGGGATAATGAGGAAGGATTCTTTTGGAAAGAAGAGTGCAATAATAATAATAAATTGATCAGCAGAGAGGTTCCAATCGCAAACCAAGAAATACTTTACAGTCTCCTCAACCCGACGTTCATAAAAGCTCCCGTAACTATGACTCCAAAAGCGGGAATGCTTTTGATTCAACGCCTGTGATTTCCGAAGCAACTCGGACTCCACCAGCAGACGGATTTTACTAAAATGTTTTGGTCAGAGGAGGCTTCATTCAATGAAATTATGAAATTGTGTTTCGTTCTCCTTGCCACACTGCGTGCGCAAGTTTCGGAGAGATATTCCCTCTGAAGAATTAAGATGTACTAATTATCTTAAGCAAACACTTGATTTCTGGTGCATGCAAACACTGACATTTCAGGAGCAGTATATTAGTTCATATTCAAGCAAATAGTTGCTCTACAGCACATAGTCTGCCAAGTGTTCAAAACAGGTTTTGGGTTACTGAAGATCTTCAATATCATCACCCAGATACCAAGAATCTGAAGATACATGGCTAAGATAACAAATTAAATGATCGATCCCTAACAAGCCAAAAACCGGAAGTTTAAGGCCATTTCAATCGATACTATGATTTTCTTTCAACATCAATAATAGATCAGCCATTTCGATTACGAATTCCTGAAGAATGAAAGATCATATGCTACCCATTCGTCACACAATGAGATCGCCCGAACCACTGAAAATTTGCAAATAACTCTAAGTGACACTGCAATGCTTCTAGAATACGAGAGAAGGAAACCTACCTTGTTGAGGGGAATATGTTCTCCAACTTCCCGTCTGATTATATTCTGTAGCTTAGGAATATCAGCGGCAAGCATATCTTTCTTGGCTTGAATCTTTTGCATTTTTGCCAGAACCTGGAAGACAGAAGTTGAGATTTCTACACAGCATCTACGATCATGGCCTTTGACTTACGACCGATCCAGAGAATCTAGAGAAAGGGAGGAAGAGTGACCAATGAAATCTACATGCAGATCCCGAAGATATCTCATTGTACGACTAGGTCCGCAGTAAATCACTTTTAGATTCTAAGGAGCCTGTTGGCGCATGTATCTGCACTAGGAATACATGACATGGACCCGTTTCGTAATTATTGAGAGTAAATTAACATACAGAGTGGAATGATTTCGGTTCATACGATCCGCTGCTAACATCTCTTAACATGCATAATCTGACGAATCCTGATCATAAAAGTCGGTGGTGCGCTATCAGATGCAATGTTTTGACGTGGATGGTTTGTAGACCTTAAGACCTTCTTGTACTTCTCTTCCCAAGTTTCTACAACTTCTTTTTTCTGACCAAAGTCTGGAATATCAGACTCTGGACTCATCTCAGCTTTTACTTTGTTGAGTAGCTGCAAATAAGAAACAACGAGTCAGGTTCACATATTTCAGTCAGACACAAAAAATCTTCAAGGTGACGTCATGAGGTTCGAGCAGTAAGAGAATCAATGCAGCTAGTAAACACCTTCAAACCATAATTGCAAGGATAAACTGCCTTTTCTATCTTAGCACAGGGCAAAAAAACTGACATCATAATCATATATGTATGGTCTGGCTTGTGGTCATTCGAATGACTTTATCTTCCATACAGTCCATGTACACGGGAGAAGAAGTTTGATGCAGAATTTTACAAACAGATTAGTATGTTGACTTTGGCGCTGCCAGGGGAATTTACTCAATTTCTTGAAAGAATGACAACGAGTGAAGCACATAATCGACATGAAGGCTAAGAGAAACATTCACCGTCAGCTGGAGGTGAGAAGAGGACAAAATGAATCACAATACTGAAAGCGGGTATCTAGATCGAAGGGAAAGGAGCAAGTTGACTTAGAAGAGGAAAGAAAAAGAGTTGTCAGCCGTAGATCAGAATAGTCATGTGACAAGCGTGGCAAAGATGTACCGGTACAAGAAACAATCTCATATCCTTCGAGAGGAAAGGTGGCCTTCATGTACTCTTACTGACACTGACATTGTGTTTGTAAGTACGAATGTGGAGCCCAAAGAAGATATATGCTGCAGATATTACGTATCAGCGCATCAAACTTTCAGGGCAAAGACGGGGTCTCTAGTTTCCATGTAGGTATTGACAGGCCCTCTGTACAGTTCGACTGGCATATTGATTAGCTCTCGTTCGCAACCAGTAGTTTTGACCGAAAACTGACAAAACCGTTTCTTAGAAAAGATTCGAAGAGTGGACATCCGAAAATTATGTTGGTAAGGTACATGAACCTCAAGTACACGTTCTTTCTTAAGTAAAGATTTGGGCTTGTACCTCTTCTTGAAGAACTTTGATTTGATTGGCCATCTTGCTTGCCCTTACTCTTTCTTTTTCAAGAGAGAGATTAAGAAAGCGATTCTGAAACCATTGTCCACTTTAGTCAGCACATAGAAGAAGTCTTCGGAACATTACTACAATTGTGGTGGACTTCGTTAAGTATTCCAACTCCCATATGTACTAGCTATTGCTGGCTCTAGCTTCTACTTCTGCAGGTACATTGTCCTCTAACAAACATTATCCTATTTATGTATATTCAAAGAGTTAAATCAAATGTTTGACAGCCATGTACTCACGTTTCCTTAATCTGCTAATTACATGAGACAGCTCAAAAGCACCATCTTCTTGCCTTGTCTAAAAGGTAGCGAATCTTGGCTTCACCTACCTTCTTGAACAAGTCGATGATTTTAGCTTCCCGTACGTCACCCTCACCACTTCCAATGATGCTCAACACTTCTCTGTATATGACCATTTCAGATCCAGATGATCGGCCGAGGCTTGAATAACTTATATTATAGGTTTATTATCAATGGATCTATGGTCGAGATTGACTACAGAGATGGATGAGAACATGAGTTTGAGAAAGGAAAACGGAAGTTCTCAAAATGCATTGGTTGATTCTCGGCCATTAAAACAAAACGTTGGTATGGTGATTGTTTATCCTGTGAGGCGTTGAGCTCAAGAATATGTAATTCTCCTATAATATTTGTACCTGAGTCTTATGATCTCGGCCTTCTGAACCTCAGAGTCTGCTTTCAATTGAGTCACCACTGGATCCTCCTGTGACGAAAAAAAGAGAAGGTCATAGGTCTTCCGTTTGAAGAGCACTTGGCGGAGTGTGATAGCTCGATCATAGGCGACATCTAGCAGTAGAGCAGCAATAGAATCACCTGACAACAGGCATAGAGTAGACATGACAATTTTTCTGTGTTGGACGACTGAAGTTTGTCTGCAGCGGTCCTTCCACGACAAATTTTATTGGATTTGAAGAATTCAAGCAATCGTCAGTTTGAAGGATCCCAGTGCAACAGGACCATCCTAGAACATGATGCCAATTATCTGCAGATAATGGGCATCAGGTACTGTTGAACAGATTAGACAAACCTTGGATAAACCTAGGTGTGCAGAAAATGTACATCATGTTCCAGGATGTATCACCGACGTGCATTATGGTCATACATACAGCATGCAATATACCTCAAAATCAAGTCCTTGATAAGCTACAGGAGCTTATCATGGACTATCATGACTTGTTCGAGGACTGTCAATTTTCCTCTATCAGCACTGACTGGTCTTCTACTGGAACTCGGAAAGAGGGCGTACAGGAGGTGGCTCGGGAGGTCCCAAAAGTGCCTCTCCTGTCTTTGATCCTTTCTTGGCATCTGCTGCTGGTTTGACAGACACCTTCTTGCCTCCTGGAGCTTTGGCGTCTTTGGCATCATCTTTCTTGCTCGCAGGGGCTTTCGTATCTTTTGCAGGAGGGGATAATGGAGGGTCTTCTGTCTTGGCCGCATCCTTCTTAGGTGCCATATTGCGTTAGGCGCTGTGGATCAACGGAAAATACCGTCGACAAACATCGAGAATCATCAAGTATCTAATCGCTGAATATGAGTGTTTAAGTTTCAATGTTATCAAGAACGTTATGTACCTCTTGATCATCTTATCAATCACGACACTTAGTACGCGACGCAAAGTACGTGATGTTTCAGACAACGATGGCAACAGTACATTACTACGGTTGTCTACCACCTTCACTTTCTTACTCATCTTACTTCGACGTTGTCTACTGATCTTCAAACTTTTGAGGAGGATCTGAACCGCGATCCTAGATTTAAAACTCAGAACGTAATATCGAGAATAGGAGAATGTACATTCTGTCCTTGTGTGAACTCCTAAATTTTGCCAGTATTGACATAGGCCTGGATGATACAAAGACCTGTGCGTTGAAAGATGTCATGATCACAAATAAACTAAATCTGATCGATTTCGTTGTGCTGTTCTTTGACTGTGAATCGGAGAGCTAGACCAACCTTCCCCGAGGCTGGTTATAATCCTTCCGCCATAACTTGATTCATCTTGATGCAGATGGTAGCCACTGGGGTGATTGGATGTCGAATCTCTCTCAGGAAATATGTCGCGGTGTTGAATCTGCTTTAGCACTGATCACGACTCGAACGCCAAGTTCTTCGTCGAGAAACACTGTATAATCCTGGATACCCTTCCTCCAGCGTCATGCTGCAGGCCGTTCTTCGAGCGAGTACAACCTCCAGCTTTATTAAACTATCCATATTTAATGGACGTAGAACGAAAGATTCCAGCGTGTACAATCCCAATCAGAACAAGATCCCAAACTGTTGCTACCACAAACGCCAGAAGGCCACTGCAATGGGCTGAACTAAGACCGCCGTCTCACATATGCGAACGTTCCCATGCTTGTTGACCTCAGCGGCATGATCGGTTTCATTCCTATAACTCCGCATCATGGTTCATAAAATCGCCCGAATTCTCACACGCTCTCTGACACGCACATATAGAGCAAGAAAAAGTGCTATCGAGACAGAAGATGGAGCCGTGAAGAATTCACCAATTCAATTGCAGGAATTAAGTCACGCGAGTTTCTTAAGCCAACGAAGGCCAACTCAACCTAACTCGTGAAGGTTGCCCTAAGTCGAAGTCCAGTGTAACTACCGAACTCAAGACCGGATTGAGTCGTACACACACGTTGACATCATGTTCCACGGGCTCCCCTACCATGAAGAACGACCGGAAAGTTCATTTCGGAGGTTGCTCTGAAGCCAGCCCATGCCCTGCATGGCAAGCTTCAGAGCGTCGAGATATTTCTGAACAATTTCGTGAGCTGCGGAATAAACCTCGAGATGCACAAACGTGATCTAAACTTAAACCTGCCCCCATCAGTCTTGCCATTCCACGTAAAAGAGCCCTGTCTACTAGCTGACCCGATATGGTCGACCAACACGACCCCGCCTCTGGCACCACTTGCTTGGCGCCTTCTTTGTTTACAATAAAATGGAAACATTAACATTAAACCAGGCGTTACGCTCAAGAACCCCACACGCGAAAAGAAGTGGGATTGCGAAGATCCCATATTCGGAGAGCGGGTTAAGAAAGCATTTCGATAGGACAGAGGCCGATCATGATTTGAAGTTCTCCCCAGTACTGTACCGTAGTTGGTTCGCGAACCTCAGTAGGGAGTAGGGATCTAGCACGTACGGACAGCGCAGCCCAGTTGCCAGGTTCGAACCAGGCCTAATTTGGAGCCGCACGCGACTTTAGAAAAACCCTCGTGACTGTTGAGCTCTGGGATTCAGTTCCTTCCCCGTCCGTGCCTGTCACATCAAAAAGCTCCATTCGTTCTCATAAATTCGGGCGAGTCCTGTCGGGAGCTTACATTGTCGAAAAGATCGATCTAGATCAGACGGTGTCAAGTCAACTCTGGAGCTCTTTGATAACTTTGAATGCAAGGCAACGAGACACTTGTGTGATGGCAACAGAATAAAAGACATTACTGTATTCTTACAGCGTGCACTATTAAAAGCAGTAATTGATTGATTCAAGGAAACTCGGCAAGGGAGCCCCAAGTCAATTTCTTTTCTCCAAAATATCAGATCACATATGTTTACAATGGACGCTAAACTCAAACACTTCGAATTATTTGACTCTAGTAGTTACTGTGAATTTCGAAGTTACGAACAGAAGGCATCTTGAATGCACATCTACCATGGACGTGATGGTTTTTAATACTTCTAAAATCTTTTAGGCGCTCGGCATGTTTTCAAGGCAAATTTGGACGTGTTCATTCACCAAAATGCATACGAGAGATATCATGCATAGATATTGTGAATCTTTACTTTCTAGACTAACTTCGATTTCTGTGAGAGTGCCCATCACCCCCACTATAGTACACATAGTTAAAGGTAGCGGCTAGTTATCACTCACGTAAGGTTAATTAGTTATCACCAGACCTCTCTAAATACGGCATATACGGAACTTGAGGGCCAAAGTGCCGTATTTCGTTTTCAGAAAGTTCCTTATTTCCAACCAAAAGTATTTGTTGTCTAGGTGTAGAACCTACCAGAGTCACGTAACTAAAATTTGGGGTGGTAATTTTTGACAAATCTTTGTTGATGTAGGTAGTTTTACTAGAGAAACTTAAGCAAATATTCAGCTAAATCTTTGCCGTGATCGTTTCTGGCAATTTCTTTGTTCATTACCGTTACTTTACTAGAGAAACTAACTGAGTACTTGACTAAAACTTTGCGGTGACACCTGATGAGCTCAACCAAGTTCTCATATTTTGTTTCCTTGGTTATCTCATTCACTTGTAATTTTGAAAACACAAAAATTTATTCAATTATTCTAAAATATCAAATAAGTCTCAAAATATCTCGAAAACAAAAATACAAAGATAAAATAGTGAACCCAGAACATCACGAAGTCGATGTTCTAGCTATTGACTGAAAAGTTTGATTCCAGGTTTTAAAAATAGATTCCTTCAACATGGAGTTTTTCGTAGTATTAGTTTCACCATATCCAAACACTTCAACGGTGTGAAGAGTGATTTCTCCTTGCTAAAATGGGAAAAGTATGTTTAGAGATGAAAGATAACACCCATTTCTCTCGAGGTTGTATTACATTGCCGAAAAATTCGGCCGAAAACTTGTAATTTTAGGTCAAAATTCGGCCGAAAACTGTAGAGTTCCTTATGTTCCGTATTTCGATTTGAAAATTATCCTTATTTTGTTGAGATGCGGAATCCGCCCTATATAGAGAGGCATGGTTATCACTCTAGTATATGCAGTTCATTTATTGGTCAATGCAAGGTAGTACTAGATGCAGTATCATCTATAGGATGTTGACCAATCGCATAAGAAAGTAAAGTGAATGCTAATTAGGGTTAAGTGAGAGATAACTAGCCTCTTTTTCGTTAAAAAGACTGTCTAGTTACTCAGACCCACATACGTACATTATACACATTAATTGTATACACCGGTGTCTTTTCTAATCCAATCCCTACAACCTGCCCCCGAGAACGGTGCTAAAACCCACGCCGTATTGGAATATTCTGTCTCTTAAATGCGAGAAAATACTATATCTTTACCTTCTTTTCGAGGTACAGTATTAGCATATAATCCATCTGGCCTTTTTCATTGCTATATTCATCAAACTAAAAGTGCTTCTTATCCGACTAGCCCCGTAAGGTCTCAAATCCTATGATGGGATTTTTACTTGACTGGCAGGTACGGCTCTAATCTTTGGTGCCTCTAGAGCAGCGTCAATTGATAATGTTAAGTCCAGAACGGTGTGAGCCACCCTTGCCTTGCCTGCCGCTCACGTGCACTCTTGATATTTAGAAAGTTTTCAATGTTAGTTGTTGTATCCACTGCACGCTCAAATCTACGAAGGAGTCAAACGGGGCCAAGTGGATGAATAAAAGGATCGGCAGACTACCAAATATACAAAGTGCAATCGTTGTTATGATGCACAGTGTCGTCTAGCAATCGAGGAGGACCACGACTAAGTTTTCGTATGCAAATAATTTTAAGCTGGGGCGTGCGTTAGTTTAGTCGGCGCACGTATGTTTGAATCTTTCCGCTTACGAAAATTGTGAACTCACGGTTTCCACTGTTATCCGAAGGCAGGTATTGTGTGTAAGTGTGGGTTGAATGAGCCGACCTGCCAAGTGGATGAGTTCTTTTCATGACAATGACATCGTTCATGATAGGACATGGGGTATCTTGCAAAACATGTGTTACGTATTCCTCATGTTCTGAAGTTAAAGCGTCTGAATTTCCCCAACACTTCACAACAAGAAGAGGTAGCATATCAAAACACATGCTTGAAGTGCAACTTGGGGACCCTGATGCCTCTTATGAAACTTCTTGTGTCTTCGAGCATACAACTTTACAGATCATTGAGGGCTATCCTCGACTGAAGAACTCTTTAGACCTCAAGCAAAATGTGTTCTACTTGCACAAAGTACCTTCAGAAAGCTGATTTCACATGTCTAATTCATGCCTTCAATTTATTACTCACACCAACTTCAGTCAGTGAACCTAGTTGAAATGATGTTCTTAAATCCTCGAGATAAGACTTCGTCCTTTGAAACCAACAACTATTTCACATTATTTTGGCACGGACCTTCTAAGAATTTGTTGGTCTTTGTCCATATATAAATTAGAGCAATCTTATTCGCCACGATTTTAACTCAATAATTGAAGGCGATTTGCCCCTCTATGTCCATATTCGAAGCATATGCTCTATGCTTCTACAGTACACTGTCGAATCAACAAACCAGTAAGGTAAATTTCATTTTCAAGTTGGGCAGTTTCATATCCACTTACTAGTTTTCTTATGGCCGTCAGTGTATTCTGAAACAACTAGCATGATGCCACGTCATTATTTGCATGTGCTTCCGTGCACCCTCAAGTTGACACGTGGGCAGCCGTTGTACAAAAATGTATTGTTGAAGTTGTTGAGATTGGGATTTTAATATGTATTTTTGCGGCCTGCACTAATTCCCCTTCCATTGCCCTGCGGTCGACGCAACCGGGTCCCGAGTACGTCACACACGAGGGTATTTTCCTTTCAACTTGTCTAGCCCGGATTTGGACACGGATCGAGGGCACATTGCAAAATAAGCCGATAGAAAAAATAAGATCCAAATAAAATAGCCAACAGAAACACATATGTGCGCACAAGTTGCCACCATACCCTTTACAGTTCTGTAATGTGCACAGTATACAATTTATAAACTTTTAAGGTGTCTTTGTTGATTGCAGCAACGCAAAGATCAAAAATCAACGTCACGCTCTCACCGTGGGTTATTATTGTCAAAGTTTACTCTCGAAGAGAGTTCCATGGTTACCTTCTACACTCAAAACTTAATGTTGTAAATGTAGGAGAAATGAAACTTTATTTTAAGATATGTATATATCACTCATTACCTTCTATGAGTCATTGCTGTCTCTCTGTCTAATTCCCAGTGATTTCAATACTAATTCACTCTTCTAAGAAGAGTGAGGGATCCTCGTGTAAGGTCCCTCTTTTCTTAGACTAGATCAGTCCGACTAGACATTGGAGAGGATGTCGGCCATCGGCAGGGGCATGATAGCTTTTATCTGACCTGGTATGTGACAGAGATCTTTCTCGTCGTTCAGGGCTTTGTCTTCTACACACAGAAAGTAGATACATGGTCCAAGAACCATCTATTCAGGTAGGGTGTATATTCAGAATACCCTAAACATTCAGATCCATACGGAAGTTAGAGTCTTGCTAGACATAAGAATATGAAGCACTCAGATGATGTGGGAAGATATATCATATACTTAAATATGTACACATGCAGCAATTCATATCCACGAATCGGTTTGTAGATTTTTATTAATAACATATCTGTTAAAGCTGTATGCATCGGACAGAGAAAATCGCTCTAAGTTGACATCTTTTTCTCGGGTTTTTTTCACTCTCAACTATGTGTGAATCCATCAGATGTAAGCAAGGTATCTTCCCTTTGGAGCATACGAGATAATGTCTCTCGCAATGAGTGCTATATGATATGTACTGAATGCACTTCTAAATCAATCCATCGCCTATTTCCTTCCAAAGCACTTTTCTCCTTCACACGGATGATTAACACAATGCACAGAAGCAGAAGAAGGACTTTATCATACAGATTCCTTATAGCATTTCGAAGCTTTCATTTCGATATAGAACCTTCAAATACCTCCGATTTCGAGGGAAATATATCGTCACCAGTTCAACCAGTCAATGTTACTGTTCCATCACAATGGCAGACTTTTACTCGGGCTTATCGCTACCGGTTCAACCATACTTCACTTTTCCATCAGAAGAACTATTTTTCTCGAATGGTTGTGCATTGATTTCTCTACTATAGCACCTGTCAAAAGTTACTAAAAAATGTGCCCTTAGTCCCTCGGGTGAACTATGCTGAAGTTAAGACTTCAATTGTAACACAAATCGATCATTCAGAATACTCATCTCCACTGGCAGTCCTCTAGTGCTAAGGTGATGATGAAACAGCTTGTGAATTTTGGGGCTAAGGTTTGCTTCTTGGAGCTGTTTACGCTCTTAAGCTCCGCAATGAGGTACATTAAACTGTACTTGAACTCACATCCAAAGACT